CTGTGATAAATTATCGCGGTAACGTGGTATCGCGGAAGGCAATTCAAGCTTCCGTACTATGGCGACGCGCGCGCATACCAGAAACCAGAGCCTTATTTGGCCTAATAATTGTTTACTTCGTTTCGTAATATGCACTTGTCATTTACAAGGCTGGGTTGGGGCAACCTTGAAATTATAAAGCAAAATAATTCTGCGCAAAAATTACTGCATTTATTAAAGTTCATAAAGTACAAATGATACCATGTTCGTATGAATAAAACATGGCATTTGCTTTTACTACCACTTTTTAAGCATTTACTCGCATCTATATGAATGAAAATTAAGCAAACACTTTTACTAAAAACCATTTGCTGAAATCTGAAAATAATTACTTTTTACCTATAGGCCTAAGCTTTTGCTACACTATAAGCGTTTACTTCGTTTCTTATGAATAAAAAGGAGTATATGCTTCAGTTTTCAAATATTTACTTGTCATATTTCAAGGTTGGGTTGGGGCTACCTTGAAAATATAAAAGCACATAATTTTGCGCAAAAATTACTGCATTTATTAATGTTAATCGCGAAAGAAAGTACAAATAATACCATACAGTAGTTCGTATGAATAAAAACTGGCATTTGCATTACTCCCATCTGTATGAATAAAATTTAATCAATGGCTTTTACTGAAAACCATTTGCTCTTGAGTAAATGGCCTGCAAAATTTAAAGCTTTACACGTTTATAAGTTTGCAGAAAATAAAACTATCGTAACCGAAACGGAAAGCGGCACCGGGGAGGGTCACGTGCTGGAGGACAGATACAAAAAAAGCGCACCAAACGTGACGAACGCAATGCCGTTTACGCGCAGAACGCGCTGTGCATCGGCACCCATGGTCTACATGTGGATTGGGTTTTCAGTCCCTACCTGATTCCATGGGTTTTCCCCAGACTATTCTTCTGGGGTATTCCTCTCACCTCTAAAACTGTTATTTCTTCTCAATGTCTTCTCTAGAGCTACAGGTTTTTTGGGGGGTTTGCGAGCTACAGTGCCTGGGGCATGCACTTTTGAGATATCCTTGGTTTTGTTACCAGAAAAAAAATATTTATCGTTTACTTCGTTTCGTATGAATAAAAAGGAGTAAATGCTTCAGATTTCAAATATGCACTTGTCATTCACAAGGCTGGGTTGGGGCAACCTTGAAATTATAAAGCAAATAATTCTGCGCAAAAACGACAGCATTTTATATACGTTAATCGAGAAAAATTAATATTAACAAAGTTCACAAAGTACAAATGATACCATGTTCGTATGAATAAAAGATGGCATTTGCTTTTACTACCAATTTTGAAGCATTTACTCGCATCTGTATGAATGAAAATTAAGCAAACACTTTTATTAAAAACCATTTGCTAAAATCTGAAAATAATTAGTTTTTTTACCTTTTAGCTTTTGCTACACTGTAAGCGTTTACTTCGTTTCATATGAATATAAAAAAAGTAAATGCTTCAGATTTCAAATATTTACTTGTCATGTTTCTGAAGTCCTTTATTTACAGAACTGTAAGTCCGATTAGATTGAAACTTGGTATGTGGCAAGACCGGGATGTGTTAAAGGTAAAAAATGAAGTGACGTCATGATGAAGCCATCCTGAGATTTTATATGAATATTTGAATTTTTGGACCGTTTAGCCATATCTCACGAACGCAACATGCAAAGTTAAAAATTCTTTTTGTATTTGGTTTGTTAGGTAATAGGTATTTGAACAACATTTTTGAAAAACTTGGGTAGGTAGATAATGGTACTAGTATGCAAAGTCTGTAGTGACGTCACGATGACGTCATCGTTTGATTTTTTTTATGATTTTTTAAATATTTATAATTTTATTCTGCTTCCAAAATTGCACACTTTCTTTCATCGGATTGACTTTAAACTTGGTTCAAACCAAGACCATAATGACAAAATGTGTTTTGAGAAGGGTTTTAAAGATGATGTCATTGCAGGGCATGTGACGTCATGTGATAAAATTATATTTTAGAAATTATTCCAAGCATGTGAACAACCTTAAACTGCATGAAGCACTCTGACAAGTGACTGCAAAAGGACCAACGAAACGTAAACATTTGTAAAATGCGAAAAGCCCTGTGTTCTGTTTGCAAACAGACACGGTGACGTTTTTTTTTTTTTTTATCTTTTTATTTTTAATATGACGTCACGTGACATGTGACGTCATATTAAAATTGAATATTTTGAAGGCCAATATCTACAGAACCACTGGTCCGATTGGGTTGAAAGTTGGTATGTACCTAGACCGGGATGTGTTATAGATGAAAATTGAAGTGACGTCATGATGACGTCATAATGGGTTACGTGACATCTCGTTAGAGATTAATAGATTTGATCTTTAAAAATCAATATAAAATCAACTGTGAGAGACCTGAACATGATTTTTGCGGGATTTTCTTCCGGTTGAAAACGGAAGTGCCTTGTTATTTAAAATTGGTGAAAATGTGAATTTGCTTTCAACGATATATGCTCTGGCGAAGTTGAACTTTACCATAATATTATAGTTATAGATGAAACTTGATGTGACGTCATTATGACGTCATCACGTGACATGTGACATCATAATTCAAAGCCCTATGAGAATATAATCACATATTATATGCCACCATTTACTTTAAACAGAACTACACATCCTTCCTTGATGGAACATATACTTGAAACTTTACATGTCACAAGTCACACAAAAAATACCGAAACAGCCTTGTGTTTGTCCACAAACATAAATCTAGGTTTTTTTTATTTCAGTTCTGCAGGCTCATGCGTGTTCTTTTACAAAATATTTGTATAAAAACATTATTCAAGCATTTAAGATACTCAATCGATACATTTCATTCCAAATTAATTCGTACCGTCCCAGGGTTCTCCCTGGGATTTTTTTCAAACCTGTGGGGGAAGTTTTGCTGTGATTCAACAACCTGCGAAGCCATGGCGTGGGGTTCGGGGCCCGCTTTTTAAGGGCCCTGAAAATTTTTGAGAGAAGATCTTGTAGGCCCCTATTTTTGTAATTAAAGAAAAAAATCAAAATTACATTTACAAGTAAGTTTCAAATTAAGAAATTAAGGTGAAGAAAAAAATCCTTTTTCTTCCGATTACATGCCTTTCAAAATAGCGTCAATAGGTCGGAAAAATTATTTCGCCAATTTTTTTTGGGTACTGATTAATGGAACATCATAAAGCATGAAATCATGTTTATTTTGTGCCTGGATTATTTTCATTTGCGCCACGAAAATTATCAAGACTGGCCATCAAAAGTGATTAAAACTTGCCTCACCTAATAAAAAATATTTTTGAGGTGGGTGATTCCACTATATGCTTAACATACATCACGGCCGCTGGCGCCGCCAACATTCAGTCTGGCCGGCCGTACATCGCGCCGTGCTCATGGCCCCGTATCAGTGTGCATTACTGCACTGTGTACGGCCCATCCCACGTGGCCGAAAATCTTGCACTACTGCAGAAACACGCTACGATGTTACGCCACGAGTTCGAGCTTTGCAATCTCCCCATTTTAATGGAAAACCCATACTCAGAAAATAAAGATCACGTTCTGTGAATTAATTCGCAGAAATTCTCTTTTTCCATCGATGTTTGTTTGGTATTTTTACGATTCAACTTCGGCCGACGGCACAACATCATCGTGGTACGACGTTTTTATATAGGCAGTAGTCACTGGTTCCGGTCCTTCATTATAGTATTGATTCCGTTAGCAAGCGAAGGGAACCAGTGCACCATGCTGTATGCGCTGCATGCCTGTCAGCTGGCAGAACCCGTCATCGTGTGCATTTTGATCACACATGCATCAGAAAAACAGGATTTTTGTCAAGATTTTGCATGTCAAGATGAAATAATGGCGAATGTAACGATTATATTGTGCATTTTAATGGCGTGAATAATAATTATATTGTGTGTATCGGGGGCTAAAAAATGTGATCGGCATTTTTGTCGGGCCGATTCGCAGTACGCACGTTTGTACGTGGGGAGAACCCTGCCGTCCGTTGGCCAGGTGCACCAGTTCACCCCGATGCGTTTGTGCAAAAATTATCGTACTTCATGTAGTTTGAGAATTCAAGTTTTGAGATCGTCGCGATTTTCGCACGTTTAACATAGGTATGTTTGTGTCAAATCATGGTCAGTTTCAAGTGTGAAAATTGGTCTATGTTCGTGGCAAATAATTAAAAGTACTTGAAATTTTTGAAATTTGTTCATTAAAAATGATTGATATCAACCTTCAAAATGGCAATAAAAAGTTTGAGGTCGGCAATTTGGCTGAAAAAATTCCCAGGTCGGTCGGGTTACCGAAAACACACCATTTCTTCTTTTGGCCTTAGCGGAAAATACCTGCCAGTAGGGGGAATATGCGTAAGTAGTACTGCTCTACAGGTAAGTTGTGTGAAGTAGACTTCCATAGCACAACCATGGCTGTCCCCATAAAGGTTGACCAGATTATTTGGTTCTGGCATAATTACTCCTGGGCCTGGGTACCCATTCATTAATGGTTGGCCAAGGTGCCAAATGGTAATTGATGTACATGAACTTTGGACCCGAGTGACCATTAATTTTGTGGTTGATATGTTTGGGCCTGATTGGACCTGCGTGTCCATTGTGTGGTTGATATGTTTGGGCCTGGTAGCCCGTATTCCTGATGCCAGCTTGCCCACACAAATTCAGTATCTGGCAAATACAGGTAGGTTCCAATAAATTGATTGAAGCTGTGGCAAAACATGCAAAGAATTAAGTCTTAGGTTTAATTCGTTTCTGAGTCAGAGTATAAGTCATGAGATAGTCGCAAACAAAATTTGACTTGCAACTTTGAGCTGTACATACACAGATTTGGGCTAGCATAGACAGTAAATCTAAACTGTATACAATGTATGAGGTGCAATTGTATGCTGACCATTTCTATATATGTAATTTACTTGTAGAGTCTAGCTATGAACTAGTTACTTCAAAGCACATACCCATGACACCAGACATTTTTGCATCCAGCCCGCCTGAGACCACAGCAACTTTGATGTCCGAATATAAAGGCCCTCTGACCAGCACATGCTCAGTGTAGCTGGGAACCCTCACTTCAGTCAACGCACTGGGATTTTCATCAATTCTCACTATATCTTGGACAACCTTCGCAAGGGACTTCTGGGGGCGCAGTTCCAGTTTGTTTAGATCTGAAATGCAACATTAACAACAACGTTATCAACAAGTTGTCAACAGACCGCATGTGTCGCCTTTTTCCACAGTCGATCCCTGTGTTCTTACAAAGTCAAATTTTGTTTGTTTTTAAACAACGACCTCAAATAACCCCTATATGACCTTTGACCTCCAATTTTGAAAGAGTTGTGATGAACCCCAACCAAAGGAACACTTCATCCAAGTTTTCTAAAAATCAAAGAAGGCATGTAGTACAGTTTGACCCTATTTGAAAACTGACCTCTAATGACCCATTTATGACCTTTGACCTCAGTAACCGGATGAAAAAATTGTGTTTTCCCACCCAAGGGTCACTGCATCCAAGGCTCATCAAAGTCTGTGAAAGTATGTAGAAGCTAAATGCGTTGGGTTTTGAGCATATTTGAACAATTACCTCTAATGACCCCTACATGACCTTTGACCTCAGTAATCTGATGAAGCATTGCGTCTTCCCACGCAAGGGTCACTGCATCCAAGTTTCATCAAAGTCCATAAAAGCATGTAGAAGATATACATTTTTTTCAAAACTTTAACATTTACTTTAACATATGCCCTTACGAACGACGGACAGTCTTGCACGAGAAATCCCATGTGGGCGTGAGAGCGTGAAACTAACATGAAATGTGTGAGCCTTTTACATTCAATGGGTGAGAGTTGGCAGGCCTGCCGAGGCGGATCCAGGATTTGACCCACACCCTCTGAAATTCAATGTAACCAAAAGCCACTAGCCCCCCCCCCCTCCCCCCGAACGCTGTACATAGAGAATAGTATTTTAGTAATTTGTATTATATAACTAAAAATAATTTGTATTATATAAAAGACCGAGGGCACATTGGAGGGCAGATGTGTGGTCATCTCGCTCACAAAAATCGAAAATTAAATCCACTTTTTTAAAGTCTTTTTAATTGCCATCCACTTTTTATCGAACATTTTATTTGTTATTTGTGTCTTCTAGTTTACGCACGTGAAATTTTTGATGGATCTTCTTTGATAATTTTGATGTTTTTTAACGTAAAACATTTTAACTTTTCAACTTTGGACTGCCATACTGTTGTGTGCAACTTTCACTACGCGATCACATGGACACGCCATCTTTGATTTTGCTGTTTCAAAGTTAAATCGATGACAACGGAGCCTGTGAAAGCTGTTTTTATCAACTCAACGTCTTATGCCACCGCACCACGATGTCTGCACAGCGACAGTTTTTACTGATTTTTATTGCTGTACTGACCCATAGGATTCAAGACAAGGTAGGACATGTATCTCTCCAATTTTCTAATTGCTATTACTGCCATCACTGGGGACCGCTGGAAACTGACGTTGTTAAGCATAACATGCCAAAACTACTGGAAAACAAAGTGTTACCCACCAACAAACTTAATAATAACCAGAATGACTTTGTGACTCAACTGTTTGTAATTGAACTCAGCCGAAGGATATGCTGAGGAACAGAGGCTTGTACTTTGAAAAAAACATTTGGAATGTTATCAAACTCTAACTCTCGTCATGATAATTCACACATGTCGCAAAAATCTTTTATAGCCATCAACATCATGCTTATTCTCTTGAGTGGTGATGTCGAGTTACAGCCAGGTCCCACTCAAACTGTTCCTGCTTTTCCGTGTACGATGTGTAGTAAGGAAGTGAGGAATGAGGATTGGGCTATAGAATGTGACAAGTGCCAACATTGGTCACGCATCAAATGCTGTGATGTATCCGCCAATGAATATAATGACTATCAAAATCAATATCTTTTGTCTGGTATTGCCCTGCATGCGACCCTACCGCCACTTCACGTTCCAAAAAGACAAACTCTAGAATGACTAACTTTGAAAAAAAAACCAGTAGAGGAAAACGTCGCCGTATAAAAAAGGACCAGGATCTGAAATTCATTAGTTTCAATGCTAGAAGTTTAAAAGGAAAGGTACCTGAATTACATGCAATGATAGATGAGCATGATCCTGATGTCATCTGCATCACAGAGACTTACCTTGATGACACGATACCAACCTATGAAGTCTTTCCTAGAGGCTTTAATGTTTACAGAAAAGACAGAAATCTTTGTGGTGGGGGAGTCGCCATTGCCGTTAAAAATAATCTAGCCAGTTTGCCATCCCTCAACTTAGACTCAGACACAGAAATAGTGTGGACACAGATCTTGTTAACATCTGGAAAACCATTCCTCGTGGGATGTTATTATCGTACTCCTGACAGTCGTGTTAGTGATTGGAATGACCTGGATGCTTCACTTGCAAAGATCCCACAAACCACTGAAATTCCCCATATCGTACTTACAGGAGATTTTAATTCCAAATCCATAAATTGGGGTGAAGGTATCCAGACAGCCACCTCAAGTGAAATGAATCTCATCGACATTGCCAACAAATATTTTTTGACTCAACAAGTTTTAGAACCAACTCGTATCACTGACACAACGGCAAATATTCTCGATTTGCTGTTCTGTTCAATCCCTAGCAGTGTCCAAGGCGTTGAAATTAAGCCAGGTATCAGCGATCATGAAGCTATTCTGTGTACCATCAAGACACACATTAAGCTTTTGCCTAAACCTAGACGCAAGATCTATTGCTACAGTAAAGCAGATTTTGACGGTATCAGATCAGACATGAATAAATGTAATACAAACTTTTTCTCAAGTAATTCTAGAATAAGTTGAAAGACGATCTTCACAAATCTAAGGAGTCCAACATTCCATCTAAGCTGTCAGCAACCCGTGACAACTTACCACGGATTAACACCAAAATAAAGCATCTTATCAGAGCCAAGAACCGCATTCACAAAAAAGCCAAACAAACAGGGAAAATCTACTCATTGGAAAAAATTTAGAACTGCAAGAAAGGTTGTGAAACAGGAACTGCGAAATGAACATCATCGTTTTGTCCGTGATGCTGTTGAGAATCTGAAAGAGAATCCTCGCGGTCTGTGGAAGTATATGAGAAGCAGACGCATGGAGAACCAGGGTGTTCCAACACTTCGTACACAAGATATCCAGCATGTAACCGATAAGGACAAGGCTCAAGCTCTTGCTGATCAATTTAAATCTGTTTTTAATAAGGAGGATCTAGACAAAATTCTGTTTACTAACACAAATTTACCGACCATTGATGACATAAACGTCACCACTGAAGGGGTATTGAAATTGCTTAAGGACTTGAACACAAACAAAGCAAGTGGACCTGACGAAATCTGTCCCAGAATTCTAAAGGAGACTGCTGAAGAAATCGCACCAATCCTGAGAGATATCTTCCAACAGTCTTTGGATTGTGGCGATCTACCGGAGGACTGGTTGAAAGCAAACATCACTGCTCTGTTTAAAAAAAGGAGATAAAGCTCTTCCATCCAACTACAGACCGGTTTCATTGACTGCAATTTGCTCAAAGCTATATGAGCATATTGTTCATTCTCACATCAGTCATCAACTTGAGAAATTTAACATACTCACCCCTAGACAACATGGTTTCAGAAAACACCACCCTTGTGTTACTCAACTCGCCTTGGCCTCGAACGAGGAGTGAGCTCCAAATGGGACAACGTAGATTCTGGTGTCCCACAGGGAACAGTACTGGGCCCCTTGCTGTTTTTGCTGTATGTTAACGACATCGTCGACAACCTTCACTCAGAAATATGTCTCTTTGCAGATGACTGCATATTGTACAACATAGTTAAAAATTCTTCTGACTGTGAGAAACTTCCAGAAGATATCAACAGAGACCGTCACTGTACACCGTTCACATGCGCTAAAACCAGAATGTCCTTTAATACACTTCACAAATGACCGTGCAGGAGCATCACATATAAATGCCTTAATAGAGACATTGAATTGTTTATCGAGTGCTTGTATGCCGTTCTCTTTCATTAAACTCCACCCGTGACGTCACCCTATTGTTCTAGCGCTCCATTATTTTGCACGAATGGAGCGTTGGAGGCGATACCTCTCCATTCTTTGGGAGGGTAATAATGCCTCCATCACTCCATTCCTACAAAATAATGGAGCGGGAAATAAAGAAACACCAAAAATGACACAGTTATATCTTTGCACAGTTGCAACTTTACTACACCGTTTCTCAATGATAATTTTATGCATTTTCTTATATATTTCGTACAATGCTTAATACGTAAGTCAACAACCATTTTTGTTCGCACAGAAGTTTCCCTTTAGTCCTACACCGTTTATCAAGTGGAATTTTATGCATCATTCGTACGATTACGTGAAATTTAGGAACCATTTATGTTTCTTATATAGCATGCTACACCGTTTCTCAAATGGAATTTTAGGCATCATTCGTACCTGAACGTGAAAGTCAAAAACCATTTTTGTTTCTTATACAGCATGCTTCACCGTTTCTCAAATAGAATTTTATGCATTTTCTTATACAATTTCTTACAGTGTTAAGGCGAAAGTCAAGAACCATTTTTTTTCTTGTGCAGAATGTTCGTATATAGTCATGTTACATGCAACAATATAAACGTTTCAACGATATAAATGTTTCACAGTTAAAGGGAATATACATCATTTGCTTTTGCTGTAATTTTCAGAAATGGATGGAATTGGGGGGTTGGAAATATATAGCAAATATAGTTACACTGACTTTTTTGAGGTTTTGGGTTCGAAAATGCTATAACAACCAAGAAAAACAATCATTTTCCTGTAGTCTGGTTCCCTGAATCCATTGAAGAAGAAACAGAGCAGTTTACATACATTGGGGAATTGTAAGGTAAGGGAACCAGTCTAGCTGGCTCGTACCAGTTCATAGGTTTGTAATCGATTGCAAACAAGTGCGATGGTCAATTGGGGCCAGTATTTGAAAAAAAGCCAGTTTTTTCCAACACTTCAGCCGATCAGCGTTGGAAATTGATACAAAAATACCACTTTTCTTGAAAAATGACAGTATACCAGGTGCCATGATTTTACAGGATGCTTTACACTGTCATTCACTAACAGTCCAGCAAGATATTTCAA